GAGTGATGATCTTGAGTTGAGTTTGAGTTATAATTTGAGTTGAAGTTGTCAATTGAGTTTGTGTTTAAATGTGCACATTTAAGTTATGATTTGAATTGAGAATCTTTTTGAGTTTGTATTTGGGTGTGTCAAAACTTAAATTTATATTTAGATAGTATTTTAATAAAAATTAAATGGTGATGAAAAATTTTAATAGGGTATATGGGTTAGGTTTTATTCATTTTTTCGTTGTGAATGCATAGAAAAAAAATCATCTCAATCAAAATTAAAACGAAAAAGCTATGACATTTTTAAGAATAGAAAAAATACTGTTCATTAACTTGAGTTCGAGTTTATAAACTTGAGTTAAATAAGAAATTTAAACTCAAATTTAGCCATAAACTCGAGTTCAAACTTAAATTTTATAAAAAAATATGAATTTAAATAAAGTTGTAGCTCAAATTTAAATTTGTTTTGAGTTTCGTCGAAAAAAATAACTCCAAAATGATTTTGTTATCAAACAGGCTATAAAATCATAGTTTTGCACGAAATGACAAAACACACCCTTGCACTGTGTACACACCACCGAGTCCATATCAGAAACGAGACATCGTCACGCCACGGCGATAACTCTCCCGCCGATAAGTTCCTCCGATCACTCCTCAAATCGATACTTCGAACTTCTCAACGTCACAAAAATTTCCATCATTATAGTTGAAAATCGGAGCTCCGATTTGAGCAATGCAGGCTGATAAACCCACGGACATTGAGAACGACCTCGACGAAGAGCCCGGCGAAGAGGTCGAATCGGCGCCTCCTCTCAGAGTCGGAGAAGAGCAAGAGCTTGGTAGCTCCGGCATCAAGAAGAAGCTCCTCAAGCGCGGTCGCGGTTGGGAAACCCCCGGCCCCGGCGACGAAGCCACTGGTAAGTCTCTCAGCGGTCACTCCCAGTATCTGGTAGCGTTCGTGGGCTTTCTAGGGTTTTGTTCGAAATGCGTTTGCTTTGATTGCGAGGAATGATTTTGTGAGAATTGAAATCTAGTGCACTATGTCGGTACTCTGCTTGACGGAACAAAGTTTGAATCCACCAGAGATAAAGACGAGCCTTTGACTATTAAGCTTGGCAATGGTGAGTTTATTTATATTTATTAATTTTTTAAATAATTGTGTTGATGTTGTAGATTTCTAATTGGAATGGTTGAAATTGACCAATGTGTTTGGCACAGGCCAAGTGACTAGTGGAGTGGACGATGGGATAATTACCATGACAAAGGGAGAGATTGCTTTGTTCACATTGCCTGCTGAAAAGGGTTATGGAGTTGATGGCCGTGATGATGTTGTTCCGCCGAATTCAGTTGTTCGGTTTGAAATCGAACTCATTTCGTGGATTTCAGTCGTGGATGTGAGTAAAGACGGTGGAATTATCAAGAAAGTGATGGAAAAAGGACAGAGGAATGGGGGACCCGGTTATTTGGATGAAGTTCTTGGTACTCTGATATTTTGTTACTTATTTATTTATTTATTTTTTTTCAATTCCATCGTTTCCGAATTGAGTTGAATTTAGAACCTTTAAAGCTATATCTGCTGTTGTAAATGGTTTTGCCAAATGCCAATACAGTGAAGTATCGAGTGGAGCTGGTCGATGGCACTATTGTGGCAGAAACACCAGAAGAGGGAGTTGAATTCTATGTAAAAGATGGTGAATTATCTCTAATGACAAGAAATAGATGAATTGGTTGTTTTTATCAGTATGTCTATTTCTGGTAGTTATATAATGTGTGCCTGTGTTTGGCGCTGTAGGTCACCTTTGTCCGGCATTGCCCAAAGCAGTCGTGACCATGGAAAGGGGTGAAAAGGCCAGGTTGATTGTTCAACCCCAGTGTACGTCTCTGAATCCTTGTTAGCTAACAACTTGCTATGTGAGATCTTAAGGTGGTAGGTTAGGAGAAGGTATATCTGACCATCCGAACGTGTTAACAGTGTCTTTAGTGGATTTATTAGAAATGAGAAAATGAGTCTTTTTTACGTCTCTGAATCCTTGTTAGCTAACAACTTGCTACATGAGATCTTAAGGTGGTAGGTTTGGAGAAGGTATATCTGACCATCCGAATGTGTTAACAGTGTCATAAGTGGATTTATTAGAAGTAAGCAAATGTGTGCTTGAGTGCGTGCGTGCGTGTGTGTGTGTGTGTTTTTTTTTTGGGTCCGGGTGAGATGATTTAGAGAAAAGGAGCTTAAGCTGAAATGAAAGTGGGAAAATTGGTGTTGATCATTGGTTAGCTAGTGCTTTAAACAATTTCATATGTCGTTTGGACTTTGACTTGTCTGCTCTTAAAAAATTTGAAAAAGCTTCATATTCCAATTGGACATGTTTATTTTGTCTTTGGGCTGGGCATGACTTCTTTTAGTTTAATTCATTTGAATTCAAATTTTTTTCTTCTTTTGACTTGAAAGGTATCAAAACCTTGTCAATTTTTACCCTGCTACATAGTAAAATAGGTATTAAAAAAAAAACAAACTGAAACTGAAATCTGAAAATGACTGCAGACGCCTTTAGGAAACAGGGGAGGGATGCAAGTGAAGGGTTTCACTCAATCCCACAAAATTCTGTTCTGAACATTGATGTGGAGTTGGTATCTTTCAAGCCTGTTATTGATGTTACTGGTGATGCGAAGGTATTCAAAAAGATTCTCAAAGAAGGGGAAGATGCTCTTAGTGCCAATGAAGGTGCAACGGTTACCAGTAAGTAGACTGACATACTTAAGTGATATTTAGGGTGATAGTAACTGTGACTGTACATGCTTCAACTGGTTAGGCTAAACTGTTACACTATGTTTGTACTGTGGCAGTTACCTATATGGGGAGGCTAGAAGATGGCACTGTATTTGAGAAAAAAGGGATTGATGGAGAGACTCCTTTGAATTTCGTCACTGATGAAGGTTAGTTAATCGTGGCTCCCTTTAAGCAGACAGGCCCTTCTTTTTTAATTTGAAGATCCAGCTCTGACCTGTGTTTGTGGTTTACTGTCTGTAGAACAAGTGATTACTGGTTTGGACATAGCTGCAGCAACAATGAAAAAGGGTGAGCGGGCCGTATTAACTATACATCCTGATTATGGCTTTGGAAATGTTGAAGTAAGACGAGATCTGGCAGTAGTTCCACCAAGTTCAACTCTTACTTATGAAGTTGAGATGTTAGACTGTATTAAGGTAAAGGCATGATGAAATTATGGAGGTTAATGAAAGCTGCAATAATTTGATCCGTTTATCTCCTTGTTCTCCAAAGCTGGATTTTCTTCTTTACTGCTGATCGGCCTTGCGTACTCATGTTATATTTCTTTAACAAAAAGGAAAAAGCGCCATGGCAAATGAATAATAATGAGAGAATCGAAGCAGCTGGAAAGAAGAAAGAAGAAGGCAATCTTCTATTTAAAAGTGGAAAATATCAACGAGCAGCCAAAAAATATGATAAAGTAAGTTAGCACATTATATGTTTTTTATTTTTTATTTTTATTTTTTATTTTTTTAATATTTATTATTATTATTATTCTGGTTTTGCATTACATATCAAAGTTGTGCATTATATCCTCCTTCAGGCTGCTGAGTATGTTAGTGAAGAAATTTCCTTTGGGGATGATGTTCTAAAGCTAGCCAAGCCTTTAAGATTATCTTGCTGGTTGAATGGTGTGGCCTGTAGCCTTAAACTTAATGACTTTCAAGGAGCAATCGAGCTATGCTCAAAGGTAATTTATGGAAAATAAACAAAGAAAAGGAAACTGAGGATAGGGGAAAGAAATTGTAGATTACAGTATTACACTTGCTCATATATACATTTATCATTGTATCCAATCTTTTGATCTTCTAAAGGATGGTACAGTGCAATAATTTTTTTGCGGTGGCAGGTTCTGGATGTTGAGTTCCACAATGTTAAAGCCTTGTATAGGCGGGCACAAGCCTACATGGGAAATGCAGATCTGATCTTGGCTGAATTAGACATCAAGAAAGCTCTTGAGGCGGATCCTGAGAATAGGTATTTGAAAAAGTTGAATTGTCTCTATGCACTAGCGTTTTGAAATATTTTTGCATTCTAAAGGAGTGCTTTTTTCCATATCAACTCTCAAGGGAGGTGAAGCTGATTCAGAGAAACTTGAAACAGCTTCAAGTCGAGAGCAATAAGAGAGATGCAAAGCTTTATGCAAACATGTTTGCTCGGACACCCATTGTAACCAAGGTAAGTGGTCCTTAACATTATTTTGACCAGCTTTGATGATTATTGAAGTTGAGAACTTGAAGACACGTTTTGCATCACATGTAAAAGTTGTTGCTATTACAAGAAGTGAAAGTGAAAGCAAATAAAGGTTGCTTTTCAATGCAATTATTAGGACTACAAGGTCTTCTAATAATAAGAAGAGGATAAGTATATTATCATAATTAGCAAAAAGAGAGAAAAAGAATGAAGACAAAAATAAGGCTCTCAAATAGCAAGTCTTCATTGTTCGGAACTACGAAATTGTCAAAGTTGAATGTTAAATATTATTTTGTTCACTTTTTCAAACCAAAAATATTTAGTTTTGGATCCTTCTACGATGGGGTTTTGAAGAAAAAGATTAGGCTATCAAATAGCAATAGTCTTCAATGTTCGGAACTGCGAAATTGTAATGTTAAATATTATTTTATTCATTTTTTCAAACAAAAAATATTGGGTTTTGAGTCCTTAAATAATAAGGTTCACACCTATACTTTATGTTTCTAACCGTTTAATCTGATTAAAATCATATCAAATTAAAAAATTTTACAGACATTACAGTCTTTGAAATAAATATGACTGCTGAAAAAAGACCTGCTGGTAGTTTATTTTTTCATATCCTACACTAGAAATCTCCTTTTGTTTTTACTAAACTTTACTCTGCAGTGGTTAATTTGTGTAGGCAATCTGATTCACTTCATATTCTAGACTATCGTCAAAAATTCCCATTTTATTTTAATTTTTGTATTATCATTGCAGAAATTGAAAGTTGATAAAACTGAGAATGACAGAAAAGATGAAGAGATTGTATCAATGGAAGTGGAAAATGTTGCTCATACTTCGCATCCCAATAACTAAGTTTGTTTTAATTCCTGAAAGATCTGATTGTAAATGTAAACTGTGAAGTTTAAATATAGAGTAATTTAAGAAACAAAAAGGATCGAAGTACTCTCAACCCAGAATAGGAAAGAGATGAGCAATATGTCACTTTAAATCCTAACCAGTTTTCCTTGTCTAGTTTGGAGTCTTTGGACAAATGAAGATCACTGTAATTCCACTTTCCAGCAAAAAAAAAAACAAAAAAAAAAACAAAAAAAGGTCATTTGTGTTCTCTTAATCTTTTTTGTTTGTTTGGTTGGTTTTTTTTTTATTTACATATTTTTTATTTTATAAACAGTCTGGCCTTTAAATTTTAGGTGTAAAAGGAATGTCATCTTTTACTCATTTTTCGTCTTTATACTAATGGTGAGAGTCCAGATTAGTACTAATTGGAGATTAAGACGTACTTACCTAACTTTCCCTCAGCACTCCACACCTCCTGGTATGGCAGGCCGAGAGCATTAAAAACCATAAGCATTGACCAACTGTGGCCATTGCGTCCATCACCACTACGACTTATGGCCTTCTAATGCTCAAACTACTTGTGATCATGGAGATCGTAGCAAGGATCTTTAGGCTTAAACTTTGTGATGTGCAGGGTCCTCTACTAGAGGCAAGCACAGAGCATACTAATCAGGAGGATAACTTATTATGATATAAAGGAAGAAACTTAGAATTTCAAAGAGAAAAGAGAACTCCTTAGAAACTCATAGTATATTGCTTAAGAGAAATGTTTACAAGGTTCGTTCCTGCCTCTGATGAGGGAGAGCTTCTCTATTTATAGCTGAAGTTTACAAACTATTACAAGAGATAAGCTTAACCTACTTTACACATGTAGACTTCTTATCTAAATTAGAGATAAGATAAGATTTTTTTACATATGTCACAATCTTGTATAAAGCTACTTTATTATAAGATAAGATAAAAATCTTATCTAGACACCTAAACAGGGACACTTAAGCAAGGACACCTAAGCATATCATTATTACAAGATAATAGCTACTTTTTTCCAAAACAACTTTTATAAAATTGCTTTTGACTAAGTACATGCCAGTTGGAGGATAGGATCTCAACAACTGTTCTGATCAGGAGATAAGTTGAGATTGAACCAATTTAATGAGTCAGAGTCCACTGAGCCATATCCATGATAGTAGCAGGGTCTCTGTCGCTTGTTGGGTGATGAATCATAGTCTGGGTCCTAGTAATCCTGGAATAGTGCTAGGTCATAGTCTTCTGGTTCTTGTGAGTTTTGGAATGATGGAGGTGCTGTGTAGGTTGTTGTGTCTTTGTATGAGCCAAGATTGCTTACTGTGAAGATGTTGTGTAGACCATAGACCTCGATTGGTGGAGCTATTGCAGAACTGACACATTTGTGTGAAGCAGACTTTGGCTTGTATTCATTTTCTCTGCACAGACATTTGATGGCGTGGCTTGTGATCTTTTCAAGTGATTTGAGATAGTTGAAACCGGTATACCAAGTATACGCAATGTTCTATGTGTGCAGTGTCTGAGTTTCTAAGTTGATTAGGTATGCCCGATGTAGAAAGAAGATGGTGTGCACTGATGGGACTTCTGCTGAATAGAAGGTCCAGATTCTGTATTTTTGGAGGAGTCTTGAGACTTTATTTCTCCACATGAGTGGAGAGAACATTTTTAAGGGTAGCCACAGAGTTGATCCTTCATTGCTGGGGTCAGTGAGCTGTGTGTAGAGCTGCATGAGTGGACAGTTGAGAGCGATATGATAGAGAGTTGTTTGGCACCATAGGTTCCAAATGTCATCTTCTACGATTTTGTCGAAAGGGTAAAGGTTGTAGATGTTTAGGTATGATTGTTCTGTATTGTATAAGAACTTGGCCTGAGGATTCTCGGTTTTGTTACAAACATTGGTTAGATAATAAAAAAGATAGTTTTTGGGTTAGGACTGGATCTGACCAGGCGTTGATGAACTATTTAGACCAGGAGGGAAATGATGATTTGGTTTTACAGGGACACATCGGTGTACTGATACTGGTAGCCATGAGGATGAGTGAAAAGGTTTTACGGGGGTGATGACTTGAATTGGTTTTGGTCAAGTTAAGAAACTAGGGATGAGGTTGTGATGGCCTTTTATATGCTTGACAGAAAAGTCATCTTGCAAACAAATATTTAAATCTGAGTAATTACGGATCAAGAAGAGTCATGTTTTTAAAATTAAGGACCTTAGAAAATGATGAATTATTCATACGAACCTCAAAATTATAACCTCTAAGATGGAAATTAAAAATTTAAATTTCATACTTTACCACAAGAATCTCTTTATAGATGGTGTGATAGTGTTTTTTTGATTTTTTGATTTTTTGAACTGGCCACTAGCATATCCACAGTAGTGTTTCTTGTCCTTATCTTCTTTGATGAGAATGGCTCCCCAATAATGGTCACTTGTGTCTGTCTGTAGTACTCTTTTCCATGTGCTTAGAATCTTTAGAGGTGGAGGTGACTGTGCCACTTTTTTCAGTGCTATGACAGCGGATGTTTATTCTGTTCCCCATTGAGGAGGATTCTTCTTCAGCATTTTTGACAGCTGGCTAGTATGTTCAGTCACACGTGGAATAAAATCACTGAGATAATTGATTGTTCCCAATAACTGTTGAATCTGCTTTGTAGTGAGGTTCTTATATGAAAACGTCAATAATTCTTGAGCTATGTGTGAGCCAGGTTGAAACTTTTCTTGGGATATCTGCATCCCCAAGAATTCGACTTGGGTTTATCCTATCTGGCTTTTCTTTTCTGAGAGCATCACTATCTGATGGAATTAGGCCAGTAAGACTTTGTGGGCCTCTGCTTCTTTTGAGAGCAGTAGGATGTCATCTATGTAGATCAAGACATTGTACATGATTGGCTCAAAGATTTGAGCAATTGTTCGTTGGAACAGTGATGAGGCCGTCTTGAGTCTAAATGAAAGGACTCGCCATTGGTACTATGCGTCTGGAATGCAGAAGGCTATTTTGGGCCTATCTTTTGGATCAATTCCCAATTGTCAGAATGCTCTTTTAAGGTTAAACTTTGAGAAGACATGAGCTTCCTTTAGATGAGTGAATAAGGAGCTGGTTCTTGGAATAAGAAATTTATCATCTTTCATGAACAAGTTCAAAGCCTTGTAGTCGATTACTAATTTTTTCTTTCCACGGACCTGTTCTGATCTTTTTTCTACATAGAAGGTATGACAAGCCCAATCTGACTTTGTGGGCTCGATTAACCATTGTTTGAGAAGCTGTGCACATTCTTCTCGTGCTAAGGCTAGATCTGATAGAATCATTCCTGGGTGAGTAGCCTTAGTTGGGTTGATGTCTTCATTCTTCTTAAAGGGCAACTATATGACGAACTTTTGATTCGTCCATAAAAGATTGATGTGCTGGAACTGATCATGACTATTATCACATCATTTCAGAAGCTTGTTCCTGATCTCTTCAGAGTCAGCTGGAGCTTCTTTGATAGAGAACATCTTTGGAATGGTTGAGTGTCACGCCCCCAAACAGGGGTTAGTGACGTGGATACTTGTTTAAAAACTTAAACTTGATTAAGAAAGAAATTAAACAATTAACAGTTCAAAATTTGATTTCAAATATAAAATATTCAGGTATTTCTAAACAAATCTTACTATTTTAAGGAAATTGAGTTTTTAAGAAAAAGTGAGACATACTTTACAAAACACAATCATCGTTAAAATTAACATCAATAGTCAGCCTCTGGCATCCACATGGTTTACACTTTTGCATCAATAAACAAATACATAAATAAAATAACTGATATTAACCATAGTCTAGTAGATTTTAAGGTTTACAATCTATAGTTTATACATGCCTTAAAATGAGTACGATAATGGAAGAAACACTTCACCGCTTCCGTTCTTCTTGAACGGATTTCCTCACCTTTTGTGCGCTACTTCTAGCGTCGTCTGGGTGGGGTTAAATCACATTTGAAACATAGAAAAAGTAAGCTAAAGACCTAGTATGATAAAATTTATAAAAACTGAATAAATAATGAAAATACAGGTTTGAAAGATTCATTCGGAACCAAACAACTTTTTACTGAAAGGTAAATAAACTTAAATTTCAGATTTCAAGCAACCGGCAAGTAATTTAATGATAAATTACTTACGACCAATGCAATGCCTTATCACCAACGTAGTGGCCCGTCTGAGTTTCGTGTTCTGCCCCCAAGGACACGATCTCCATATCTTGTCTAGGCCATCAGCGGGCTTATCAGTTCGTAAGAAATCTTATCTTAAGAAAGTATTCATTAAAACTTTAAATCAGTTCATAATGAGATCAATAGCAGTAATCAAGCTATTGTTTTAAAATAATTTTCTTTATTAAACATGTCTTGTTTTTAAAAACATTTACATAGGCCAAAACACTTTAAAATAGGCTAACAAGGATATGAACAAGAATATCCTACCTCTCGCAGATATAAAACATGTGGCTAACTTCTTGTCACCCTAGCTTCCGCTTCCCTTAAAGATTTAATACTCGATCTTCTCCATTAGCTTTATCACAAAAACAATGTTTTAGGATATAATTCTCATTCTTAAAACGAATCAAGCTCAATCATGTCTAATTACTTCCTATTAGTGTGCCTTGACTCAATCCAAGTTTCACAAACGACTTTATAATTCATTTTAGGGGTTCTTTAAAATTAAAATTCAATTCTTTGGTTTGGTTTCCCATTGAATTTCGGCTTAAAAACAAGTTAGTAAAGAAATTTTGGCAGCATGCCGGTAAAATAGGGAAAATGTCAAACCTGCAATTTAAGTTCAATTCCAAAATAAATTCTCCAGAAATCATCAAAACCAGTTTCCAATTAATTCAACAAGTCCAATAATTGAAAACTCCCAAATTTAATTCAATTCCAACAACAATTGTTCAAATCTAAACCTTAACTCAAAATTTATCAAATCTAACAAAAGTTACAAATTCTCAAATCAATAACTCAAATTCAAGTATGGGTTTTTAAAAAATCCTTACCTCAAAGTGATTGAAACTGTTTTTCCTCTATTTCTCTCATTTTTTTCTTCTTCTTCCCTGCTTCGGTAGGGACACTGAGAGAGAGAGAAAGAAAGCAAGGGAGAGAGAAGCCGGCAAGAAAGGGCAAGGGAGAGGTGGCCGGTCAGAGTGAACGGGAAAGAGAAGGAGGCCGGCGGT